CTGCTCTGCATATTTTCACCAAAATAAAACCAGTAACTAACAAAGCAAAAGAAAAGTCATTTAATTCTGTGGGAGGCAGTGAGTGAGAGAAAATCAAACAAAGCCTTCGACCCACCCTTGAAAGGAGGTCAGGTAACAATGGAGACCAGAAGGCAGGAATGGGGGTACACGCCATGGGATGCCAGGGATTACGGCAGGTTTGGTTCCACGGAGGGACAGAAAGAAAGAGAAAGGCCCTCCGTGAGATGGACGGACACTGTGGCTGCCACGAGAGGCTTGGGCACAGGAACAATCCAAGGATGGCTCAGCATTGTGCAGGGCTTCCCTCTGCTGTGCATATGGTCACCGTGGGTTAGAAGGACCTCCATGATGCCTAACAACGACCTCAATGACAAGAAACAAAGAGAGGGATGAGTTACATGCTCTTCTTCTGAGTCTTCAGAAGGAACCGACCTTTCTGGAGTTTGGATTCTGGAATTAGCTTCTGAAACACTGGGGAAAGACATTCCTGTCCTTGTGAGTCACTTCGTTTGGGGTGCGCTGTTCTAGTGTTCATACACTCATACAACTATGAAAGAAGTCAAGAAAGAAGGAGAGTTGGAGCCGAGAAAGAAAAGCAAGAAAGAATGGAGGAGGAGAGGAGGTGTCTGGCAGTCTGGGTGGACTAGAGAAACACATTCACAGACACACTCATATGTGTATAAGGAAGAGGTTTACAGATAAGAGCAATTGAACATTGAGAAAACATCCCCACTCAGTCCAGATCAAGTCCATAAGTCCGATATTAGCCCAAATGTTCGATACCAATCTATAAAGTCCTCTTCAGACTCACAAAACACATGCAATGATGCCAAATGCAGGAAGATCACAGGCCAGTGAGTGGGAAGTCTTGTGGATCCAGTGGCGTTGTAAGCATCTCAGCGCTGGCAGGGGTGTCCAGGTGGATCCTCCGGTTCCCAGCACAGTCTCTCAGTGTAGTGCCATGTGTCTTGTCAGCAGAGCATCTCTCAGGGAATGAGCAGGGAGGGAGAGTGTCTCTGGCCTCAGAGGAGGAAATCCAGGAGTTCCCAAAATCCTCAGGAAAAGATCGTGCCCACACAGAGGCCTCATTGGCTATGACCCGATTGGCAGACTAAACTCCACCCCTTCACTCCTAATCCTCTCAAGTCCCAAACTGACACCAGACGATGTAACTACCACAGTGTCCAGGAGACACAGTGCAGGGATACAGCAAAGCAGGGCAGAGGAGAGAATATAGGCTTGGGTCCACCCTCCCTGGAGTCACGTCCTTGGGTCTCAGTCAGCTCCATCCCTGCCTTCTCCCCTTACCTGCCTTGAAATTCTGCTTCTGTAGGGGTATCCAAGTGGCCAGGATTCATCTCTCCTGGTCAGCTCCCCCAGACCTCTCATCTGGGCTATGGAATAGAAGTTTCTAGGATGTCCCCAGTAGATACCCCTGGTGTCCTCAGTCACATTTCCCAGAGGAAATCAGTGCTCAGAAGCAGAGAGTCCAAGATGGACTGGCTTTCACTCACATGATCTTTCAGCAGCAGGAAAACGTGATCCACACCAGCTAGTTTGCATATCAGGGTCACATTGTCACTGGGACGGTGGCGTGATTCTGCCTCAAAGAGTACACTTGACTTTTTTTCTGGTTTGAGATATAGATAGACGTCTAGATATCCAAGTTCTAGAAATAGAACCAGAAGAGAAGTTAGAGCAAGGAGATAGAGAGCTAGAGATAAAGATGGATAAAGAGAATTAAGTTGGGGGAAAGTTAGGCTCAATCTATATAGCCACTTCTCTCCCCTCATCAACTGCATTCCCTGAAATGTCCAGGGTCCTCCGTGTGCAATAAGACTCCAACTAAGTTTTCCAGGGAGATTCCTACAGGAGCCAGGGCATTGAGTAAGCCCTTTCCTACCATCGGGCCCTGAGAGTCAAGCTCAGCCCCCTTTTCCTGGTTCATAGCCTTCACCCAGGAGTAGCAGGGCCATGGCCAAGCCGGCCTCCGAATCATCCCTCTCCAGGAGCTTCTATTTCCCGCTTTCAGTGTGATGGGGATCCTAGGAATGCTCGGGGATCCTTCAGCAGAAAATGAAGAATATTTTGGCTGGAGTCTTGGCAGAGTTTGAGGATCCCCTCCCCGCCCCCACCAGGGTAGCATGTTCCTTTGGGCCTCAGAAGGCTGTGATTTTGAGGGAAGCCTGGTGTGAGCCCACCTTCTCACCAGTTGACCTCAAGCCTGAATTAATCTCTCTGTGAGGTTGTTATTAGCTCCCCACCAGTCCCCATGATACTGGGAGTCCAGCCTGCTATCTGGTATTGGGCAGCTAGGCTCATGGGGAGGCATGGTGCAGACTGTACGTCCACTACTCTTCTATGACCTGTGGCCACACAAGAAGGCCCTTCAAAGTGTCCACCCCCGAGTCCCAGAATTCGCCTCCCCTGTAAGAGACTTAGCAAAGGTTGTTCCATGAAGGCTCTTGAGTTGAGGATATGATCCTGGATTCTCCTGGAGGTCCCAATAGAATAACAAAGGTCCTGAAAGACAGAAACAGAAGATCAGAGAGAGGAGAGGTGAGGAACAGGAGACCGAAAGGAGGCATGGTTTATGCACTGAGCAGCTAAGCCAGCCATCCGCTTTCTCTCTGTGGGAGAAACATGAGGCTGTCTGAAGTTGGAGTCTCAGAAACCCCGAGGGGCAGTTCTACTGTCTGCTCTCGTGTTACAAGGAGTCAACATCAACTCCAAGGTAGTAGAGGTTTAGATGTGAGGCCAGAAGGAAGACATTGGAGCACCATGAAGAGTGGACTATGAGCTACGACATTCAGTTGGCTTCTAGAACCTGGACCAGGCTAGAGAAATGCATTCTTCCAGAGCCACGAGGCGGATCCAGACCTCACTCTGATCATTTCACCACCCTCACCTTATAGCACCCCTTGCTGGTGGTATTTTTTTCCCCATCCAAACATATCAACCAGGCTATGTGGAAAATGGGTGGAATTCCAGCCACGAGTCTGACCTCAACGACTCTCAGAATCACTGTCCTTTGAAGTCCGACCGTGTGATGGTGGAGCAGTCAGTTCTGCAGAGATTCTCAAACTCTCCCCCGCCCCATGGCCACACTCTCTCTTCCTCGTCTGCTGAGCAGGCCTTCAGGATGTTCAAGTTCCTCGCTGTCCTCAAGCAGGGGACAGGAGTCTTTAAGAAAGAGAGAATGACTCATCTCCTTCCCAAGACCCCTCTCCAAGGGATGTCCAGTTGCCTACAGATGGGTCTTGGGGAGTGGACGAGTCAGCCAGGGTGCAGTGTAGCATCGATGAAACACACAACTTTCCTCTAGTTCTTAAATGCTTCTTTCCCCCTCCACTACCATGATCCCAAATCTACCTTACAAATCCGGCTGGACCAGAGGATGTACGCTGGTGCAGATAGGAACAGGAAACACAGGGAATCCAGGACAGATGACCCCTTCAGGACCAGTGGTGAGAGTGGCGATACCGGGAGGGTAGAGGGAAGGTGGGGTAGAAAAGGGGAACCGCTTACAAGGATCTACATATAACCTCCTCCTAGGGGGGATGGGCAGTAGAAAAGTGGGTGAAGGGAGACGTCGGGCAGTGTAAGATATGATAAAATAATAATAATTTATATATTATGAAGGGTTCATGAGGGAGGGGGGACAGAGAGGGAAGGGAAAAAATGAGCTGATAGCAAGGGCTCAGGTGGAAAGCAAATGTTTTGCGAATGTTGAGGGCAAAAATGTACAAATGTGCTTGACACAATGGATGGGTGGATGGATTGTGATGAGAGTGATGGGGGGCTCTATGAGCCCCCAATGAAATGTCCTGATGGCAGAGTCAGAGACCTGCTGATCCTTCGTGAGGGCTGTGACCTTGGGGACCACAGAGCTGTGAGCTTAGAGTCCTGGTAGGAGGAAATGGCCTCACCAACCTACGGGCTTTTGTAGGATTCTCATGGGGCATCTCATTCCGGCCTGCGTTTAGTACAGGGGACCTTGCAAGGCCCAGAAATGAGCTTGCGTTGGGGGAGATGGGGAGTTAATAACAATGAGTACAAAATTAAAGAAATTGTTCTAAAATCGATTGTGGGGATGACTGCCCAAGTCCTTTTTTAATATCTTCAAGCCATTGGGTTGTATGGTACATGAATTATTTGTCAATCAAATTGTTTTATGGTGATTCTTATTTTTGTTTTACGACTGATCTTCACCTCAGGAAGCCCCAGAACTTGTTCTTTCTAAGACCAGGCTACAGCCCTACCCTCTGATTCGAGCAGAATGATGTCTATCTCTGCCCATCTTGACTCTCAGGTGATGGAGCATCAGGAGTAATCGTATCCAGTAGCTGAAGGACGGAGGGATGGCCAGTCAGATTCTAAAGGCCACCTGCCCTTCTACTTTTCAACCCCTCCCCATGTCTCTTCAGTCTCTTGCTTTCTTTCTCCCATCTGCCACGCTCTGATCACCTGCTTCCCTCTTTTCTGCACCTTTAGAAATCAATCGGACCGCCCCCTGGATGTTGGAGACCCTGACTCCAACTCAAGATTCTTACTTCAATCCCTTCTGCAACATTTCTTTTAAACGAGGGAAAATATTGCGTCCGTTTCTGGTATTGTGAGTGGGACATCTTTGAAGCTCTTATTCCCCTGACCAAGAATGTTCTAAGATAAATCTCACGGAAAGACTCAGCTGACACGTGGTCAAGAGATCGGGAGGCTGATCGGCTGGAAGGGCAGCGTTAGAGAGGGAGGAGCCCAGGCTTGAGATCATGTGAAGAGGAAGTGGAATTTCCTGTCCACACTCAGGGTCATTGCCCTCTGAGAGGAAAGTCTATGATCACTCGGGGTGCAAATAACCCTGCAGAGGAGCTCAAACGTGGCCATCACCTCAAACAGAGCCACTCTTCCTTCTTTGCTGAGGGGCCCAGGAACATGGGCAGGACCCCCACCAAGCTGTGCTCAGCAAGCCTGAGGGGCTGGAGAGGGGAGGACGCTGGGACTGCCCTGGTCACAGTCCTGGTGCTGCTGGGTAAGGACATTATACATGCTTGGGGGGGGGGTGTCACCAATCTGATTCTCAGGGTCTGTGGGAGGGAATGGGCTCAGTGAACACCTTGTCTCTTGCAGGATTCTGTCTAGGAACCTCAGTGGCATATTCATACAGTAAGTATCATCTTCAGTATAACTTGGTGGTGGAGGTGGTAGTCTATAGGGAACCTCCCCCTCTCCCAACTCCGGGAAATCAAGATCCTTGTCTCTTCTAGTCCCAGAAGAAAAATCAACACTCTTCTTTGAGGTAGAATCACTGGACCACCCCTGGGACAATGTGACTCTGATATGCAGATCTCCAAATGAGGCTCAAGCTTTCCAGCTGCTGAAGGACGGGGTGGCCCAAGCCCCAGTCTATCTTCGAGCCCGTGAGCACCGGTTTCCCCTGGGGAAGGTGACAGAGGACACGAGAGGCATCTACAGGTGCAAACATACAAGCTTTGTTCACACTATCATCCAGATTAGTGATCTGGTGGAGGTGACTGGCAGAGGTGAGTCTTGGCCACATGGAAAGCTCTTCTGAGAAACAGTAGAACTTGAGGATCAGGTAAGAGAGACAGAAGGGATAAGGGTGTCTAGATCCGAAGAGGTGTCTCCAGGAATAGTGGCAACCAACCCTTCTCTGTGCCTCCGACTGATTCTGTTCTTTTTCTTTACCCCTGATCTTCTACCAATTCTCCAGACCCTCTAGTGCTTGCTTTTAGAACCTCTACTCGCTCTGTGCCTCTTCCTTCGTTGAATGTGTTTCTCATGGCTATTGGCATGTTGTCCCTGAAACTGGGTGCCTCACCATCCCAGGAATGTATTTACTCAATGGCCTGGGGTCTAGAGGTCCAGGATGGAAGCATCGGCCAAACTAGTTCTTTCTGGAGACTGCAGAAGAAGCTTTTCCGAGTCATTCTCCTGGCTTCCAGAGGTGGTAATCCAAGGCATTCCATGGCTGAGGCACGCAGCACTGCCTCCATGTTCGCATGACCTTTTCTCAGCATGCCTCTGTCTTCATAGCATCTTCTCCCATCATGCTTCAATGCACTAGTTTACCATTAGGGTTTAAATAATTTACTTTATACACGGCAAAACCATATAGGACTGAGCACACACCAATCCATTAATGAATGCAGGTACCATTCCATGACATTCTTGATATTCTCTGAGCGATGGACTCATTCTAGGTTTTCCCAAATTACGTCACCAACGTTAGCATGAGTTCTCTCTCTTCTCCAACTCTCATCTAACTTTTCCAGTTGCTCTTGTGAACTGGATCAGACTTCACTGCTACTTCGAAGGAACACAAGAGTCAAGGCAGGTAATATTACTTAGCTAAGGTAAACTACAGTTTGGTAAGAAAGGCATTCAGGAGTTAATTTCATTTGAGGATTAAAGAGGGATGATGTTGGGCCAATGGTCTCAGGGGTTGATTCCCCCTTCCTTGGCTGCAGAAAGAATTGAGTTCCATGAGACTATTAAATAGGCTTCATATTTACTCCATATTGGTCAGAATTCCACTGTGGAAATGTCACCATATTTTCATATTTTCAGTATGGACAGCATCTGTTTATATGGCCTTTTTTTTTTCCTTTAAAAAAATCATTTTATTGGGAGCTCCTACAATTCTTATCACAATCCATCCATCCATCCATTGTGTCAAGCACACTTGTACATTGTTGCCATCATCATTCTCAAAACATTTGCCTTCTACTTGAGCCCTTAATATCGGCTGTTCATTTCCCCCTTCCCCCCTCCCTCATGAACCCTTCATAATTCATAAATTATTATTATTTTGTCATAGTCCTTCTTATGAAGATACTACTCATAGTCTACTGGCACTAAACCAGTCTGACCTCACCATGCATAGGCCCCATTTCCACATAATGTTATTTTGTGAAATTCAAGTGAATAGACGTGGGAGGCTTAGTGAAGCTTGTCAAATCTAAGAAGGGAGACCCCACCTTTTGGTTTTCTGCTCGGACATAAGAAGAAGGAGGGGGCAGGTGACTAGGGCGTGCTGGTCACCACCAACCCTATTCCTGCAGAGTACTTCCCTCCTCCCTCTCTGTCTGCTGAGCCTGGCCCCTGGCT